GTGACAGGTTTGAAGATGGGCTTCCTTCCGAGGTCCCCATGTGTCTGTCAATGGCACCAGCACATGGCCAGTGGGTCAGTAGGGTGAGAAGGGACAGCCCACCATCAGGGCCTCTCTGGGGTCTTCAGGAGGGTCAGACACTGCAGCTCTCAGAGCACCCTGCCCACGCTACACTCCAAGCTTGTACTGTTTCCCTTTGGACACTTTCCTTTACCGTGTTTGGAACAAACATCCAACTATAGTATGGGGAAGAGAGTGTCAGGGGAGATAGAAGAGAACTGGATGTGGAAACAGGGCTTTCAGTAGTTTCTAGAAACTGCCAAAAGATTCTCTTGTGAATGTGTGCTAGGGTGCACATCCTCAGTATTTTCATGTGACACTGGTGGCGTTCTGCAAATGGCCCTAGGCCTTGTGGCATCTCCTGAGGGCCTGAACAGAACACAGGGCAGACAAGGCAGTGTTTGTCCTATTTGGCTTCTACCTGACTTGGGACCACAGCCTCCCACCTTTCCCAGCCATCTTCGGCCTGAGCCCATGCCCTCCAAATCACCTTTGATCTCAAACTTGTAGACAAGGACCAAATGACAGGCCAGCTTCCAGAGTCTTCAGCTTGATGATGGAAGATGAGGCCTTTTCAACCTCCACAGTGGTGTGCACCAGTCCCTCCTGTACGTGCCTAAAACACAGATGTGCAGACTCACTGGTCCTCTTCCTCTGGATAACACTAACTGACACATGGCTTCTCTATTTGTATCAAGAGTCCGAGACCCCTCAGAAGCTGCAGTATCACCTTCAGCCTCCCAGGACCCTGTGTAGAGTTGAGGTGGCAGAGCTTTGTCCTCGTCTCTGCCACAATCTGTCTCTGCTGTCAGAGGAGGAAGAAAGATGGAAGAGGTCCAGAACATTCTTCTCGCCAGCTGGAACTGTGGACTGTAGGTTGGTGACAGCAAGCAAGGGCCCGACTAGCGTGAAGAGGACCTAGGTTCACATCTACAGTATGGCTTCTGCTTAAATGAGCTACTTACACTCTCTGAACTCTTGTCTCCTCCATCAGGCAAACAGAGACACTACCAACACCACTGAGTCAGTGAGTGTGAGGAGCAAGCAAGGGGGCAAATACACAGGGGCAGGCTCAGTGGAGCACACTTGTAATCCCAGCCACTTGAGAGAAGGAGCAAGATGGAGCCCAGTGAGACTGCCTCGGATTTTTTTTAAAAAGGTCCTAGGGATGTAACTCAGTAGTGTAGGTACAACCTGAGAACCAGCAAAAACAGAGAAGGAATACTGCATGTAGGTGTCTGGTACAAAGAGTGGCAAAAGGAGCCAGTATTTCACAGCCTAGGATCAGAGAGTGTGACCTTCATCCCAGCATTCCTTCCTCTTCCGGTTCCATGAGAGGCCTGCCCATAATCCCACAGGCATCTGCGATCCCTGAGCAGAGGCTCCATCTGGGTGACAGGTCCACTCCTGCACTGCTCTTGCAACAGCCTCAGTGCAGCTGGAGAGGCAGGGAGGTGGGATGGAGGGAGTGCTGGTGGGAAAACGCAGGGACCCCAAACCACAGAGGCATCAGAACTAACTCACCTGGAGGAGGGGACACTAAGGAAACTGCTCCATGGGGCCATCAATAGAAGAGTCATGACCCGCCAGATCGATCCCCTACTGCAGGCCTGAAGTATGCACACACACGCATGCATGCATACACATGCACACACATGCAGAGCATGCACAGTGTCTTCAGTAGCCCTGCAGCTCAAGTTCATAAGCCTCATTTTACACAAGCGGAGATCAAGGGCCAGGGAGATACAGACTCTGTCCGCCTGCAAAGCCCATCACCCCTACCCCCCACCCCCGAGCCAAACAGATACCACAGAATGGGAAAGGTCAATCCCTTCTGGATCCCAACATGCGGCTCAGAACAAATGGTAGAATCTGCAGGAAGGCAGATTTCAGCTCCCCATCAGGAACTTTGCAAGCTCAAGTTTGTTCTCCAGCAGAGGTGCTTCCTTCGCAGTCTGGAATCCACTCCTGTGGGCACCCTGCATGGAGAGGGCTGCAGAGGACGAAGCTTCACAGGAGTGACTGCACTGGAGGCCTCCTCAGGAAGATTCCTTCCTTGCCCCAAAGGCCATCATTTGTGCAATGGTCATTTCCCAGTCACGGGGACAGAGAAGGACCTTTGGTTCCCTTTCTTGTTTGTCTCTCACCAATGAGCAGTCTGCTGTGCCTTTTAATGTCTCCCTAAGAGATTTTCAAATCATTTGAGCTTTCCCCAGAGGCCACCTTCAGCCCACCCCGGAAGGAGTTTCTGTGGGGGTCAGGATCCCACTGCTGATCTCTGCCTGGAGGACAAGCACAACCCCCCTGGGAGGTGCCCTGATCCCTTGGCCCTGCGATCTGAGTCCCCGGGCAGCCTGCTTCTCCTCACAGCCATGCACTACAGGGTGGTAATTCAATGCCTCACGAAGGCTTAGCAAAGTGGAGCAAAACATAAACTAGGAAATAACCCAACTTTCTTGCACACAAAACCTTAGAACGAAAGCCAGCACCAGTGTTTTAAACATCTCACAAAGCTCACATTGTATTGTGGAATTATTTTTAATGAAGCTGTTATTATGCTACAAGAATGCAATAAAACATCTGAAACATGAAATTTCCTATTTTTATCGCCTCCTGTAAATTTTTCAAAAGGGGCCAAAATGATTTGTTTCAAAATGTGTATAGGAATAATTGGATAGAGATTTTTCATGCCAACTTTCCATTTGGAGCAAAATCTAGAGACTGTTACTTCATAAACCACTGAAAATCTGAGCACAAAATGAAAAGGGCAAATATTATGGGATATAAATATAATCAAACATAACAGGCGCTGGAAGGAACCACTGATTTACCCACTCCCAAGGTGTGGTCAGCAGGGGAACTCTCTCCTATAACAAGGTATTCATGAAGAATTGGTTTTACTTCTGGTTAAGAGAAGCGTTATACACATGAATTTCTGTACATGAACACTTAACAGAAATGCTGATTCCATATTGGTTAATTCTCAAGCAAAATATTATTTCTATCGTTCACCTTCCACACAGGTCTGTAGAGGACAGACCCTCCCTTAATTTTCTTTTTGCATCATAAATATGGCCTAATCCTTGTTATAAACAGAAAAAAAATGGACCCCTTGATGTGAAGCAGATGTGTTTTCACTCATATACATTGTGTGTAAGAAGTTGATGTAAGATGTGATTTGGCACAGCAGTGCAGCCAGATATTAATCACACTTCCCAAAATGCCAGTAGGTAGGAAGATATTACTTGTTCCATAATTTCAGATTGAATTTTCAACTCACACTTCTCTTCAAGTAATTCCTGAAGATTGGTCACTTAGGTGGCACAGCTGCCCGCACCACCAAGCAAGCTCTGTCTTTGCTGACGTCTTTCGGAGAGTGTTCATCTCTGTTAGTGGCTCTGGGTCACTGTCTCTCATGAGCAGCTCCCAGCATTAAAAGAGCAGCTCCATCTGCCACCTGTAGAAAGGCTTTTCCATATACAAATACAAACTCCACCCAGCCCCTTGTTAACACTCCCAGCCTCTCCAAGGCTGCTATACATCTTCTCACCCATTCCAAACCTCAGCTGGACCATTAATAAGAGGTGAAGTGCTCAGGATCTTACTTATTATATTTTCTTAAAGAACATAGGCCTTGGAATCCCTTTTTTTTTTCCAGTGTCCCTCTATCCCCTAGGAATCAACTCAATATTTCTTTGTACTGTATGCCAGTTGAGCATTTAAAAAAAAAAAACAATAGGAAACAGCATTGCAGAGGCTGCCCATGTGGGTTAAAACTACCCAACTGTCTGATGCTCTGAGATGGAATCTTCCACCCCTTGGTAGCAGCTCCAACTGCAGCGATTTATGCTAACTTACCAGATCAAGTCACAATTGGAAAACACAGGTCTGAGAAGTCACTGCAGAAGTCACTGCCTGCTGTCTCTGTCACTGTTCTAACTCAATGTACTGTCTTCCAACAGGGGAGTTAGGGTTCCTTAATCGAGCTGATCCCCCCACCTTTCTTTGTCCCTTGCCAAGAACAACAGAGAACCAAAGCCACGTAGCCTGAGTTCTCTCTGCTCTTGTGACTGAAAAAAAATTTCAATGGACTCTTTTTTAAAACACTTAAACCACATGAGAAGGCTTTCTTAAAGAAGACTTCCTGTCTTTGTTTTACAGAAATGAATAAAATGAGCCTCCATGAGGGGAGAAAAGAGTATTCTCAGCTCCACCATGCAAGAAAAGCTATGGAAATTGAGGCTATCCAGAGGCCGAGTGGTTGGTGCGGATGGAAGCTTGGAATTCTGAAGGATGTGGTGAGACTCTGGAGCTGAAGGAAGCTTCACTATAGCAACAGCAGAAGAGGAGCTGGGCAACCCGCTGACCACCTGGCTGGGCCTCTGAGTGTGGGCACACACTCCTCCCAGGAAGAGCAGTGCAGAATGCGTGTCAGTTCACTCTTGTGTAAGTGTAATGGTGTGCCATTGGACACACAGCCTGGCTGGATGGCCAGGTGGAATCTTTTCCCTGTTGTATTTGGTAAATTGCTTAACTTCCTGGTATAAAAACTGACCAGCCCTAACCAGCATTGATGCCCAAAGGCTTGAGATTTGGCTTGTTGACGTCCCGTCACAGAAAAGAGGAAAAGCCGGTGAATCAATTGACTAATGACACTGCTCATCGACTGTAGCCAACGGCTCCACAACACAGGACAAATTCAGGCCCTTCTGGGCACAGCTAACAGCTTACTCCACCTTGCCGAAGGGCACCGGCTCTGGAAACACACAGTCGTGCTGTTGCACGTTTTTCAGTGAAGCACGCTGATGCCTCTCAGAAACGCAGTCATCCCACCTGTATCAATCCCGCACTATGGGCTGTGGTTACCTCGCAGTTGAGATGCACCCAGTCCATGTGACTTTCCACCCATGTCATGTCTATGCATAATAACGAAGAAATACCTGTAGGGCGCGGTACCCATAGGAAATCGGACTTTCTCTGTCGCTGTGATTCCCCCGAGTGGGCTGTAACCGCCAGGTCACACGTCCGTGCTTCTTGGGTTAAAACAGAGGCTTCGGTTCCTCTGGGCTGTGCATTTCGATCCTCTCTCCCAGACAGCTCAGAGCTTTCCTCTCCCTGCTGCACGCCACTGGGTGATGGGCCCCGCTCGCCGCTAGGGGGCGTGGAAGCCCCCAGCAGCGGCCGGGGCTGCGCGAGAATCGCCCGGAGCAGAGAGGGCAGAGAAGGCGGGGCGGCCGCAAGAGGAAGAGGAGAGGCCGCGGGCTGGGGGGTGGGGGACCCCTGCGGGAGCTGGGGCGCACGCGGGCGCCCATCGGGGCCTTCCGGCTGCTCAAAGAGCAACGGCCAGGGGGCCTGGACTAGGGGAGTGTGCGAGGGAGGTGCAGACACTCATTCCTGCTGAGACCTGGGACAGAATGACCTAGGGACCGAGGGACAAGGGACGCATGCATGCGTAGATGCATGGGCTGCAGTCACCGAAGGTCGAACCTGGGGCCTTGGCACTAATTAGAGACCCCAGCTCCCCCCTCCCCAACAGACCTTGTATATTTTATTTTGAGACAGGGTTTTACTAAGCTGCTAAACTGCCCAGCCTGGACTCTTGAACTTGCAATCCTCCTGCTTCAGCCTTCTAGAGTGTTGGGATGGCAGACATGCTCTGTCTCTGTCTCTCTGTCTCTGTCTCTGTCTGTCTGTCTCTGTCTCTGTCTCTCTCGCGTGCTCTGTCTCTCTCTCTCTCTCTCTCTCTCTCTCTTATGCTGAAGCTCTAACCAGACCCTCACGGATGCTAAGAACTCACTGTTCAGCTGAGACGGGGATTTTTAGCCTTCCGATGAGATTCATTGCACCTCTGGCCCAAAGCAGCTCTCTTCTTCCGAGGCGGCATCTGCCCCTGCGTCCCTAGCGGGGACAGAGGTCCCTGCCAGGTGGATCCTGAGTCCCCGGGCCTCAGGCACTGAGAGGAAAGTATCTGCACCCTTTTTCACTTTGGCCCAAGCAGCCTTTGGTGGTCCTAGCCCACAGGGACTCTGTGAGAACGAGGAAGGAGATCACAGGCGCAAGTCGAGGCCCTGAAAGAAAATCCCAGCCCAGCTTCCCAGAGCCCCGGTGCGGACCCATCTGGTTCATGCCCTGCCCTTTCTGCCACAGTTGCCTGAACCTCAACCCAATACATGAGGAACCCTCTGATTGCTTGTGTCCTGTCACGTGGCCACCTGATCGCGTTCTAACCCTTGGCGTGGCGTGTGTCACCGCAGCATTTACCTCCGCATCCACTTATGTTAATTCTGACTTTTCCCGTCACAGTCTCAGCTCCATGAAGACGTGGGTTTTCTGTGCTATCACTACTGTGTGGCCGGACAGGGGTCCAAGGAGGACGCTGCCGCTGCTTGCTGTGTGTGAGGAAAGGTTCCTTAAGAACCCATCCTCTGGCCAGGGTTTGGATCATGGACTCAGGAGAGGCCCGAAGGAAAGCAAAATCATGACCAGGGAAAGCAAGAGGAGGCAGGCAGTCCACGCCCAGACGGGCTGTGCCACCAGGGCTGACAAAGGGCCGAACGCTGGGGCTGAGCGGGGACCGAGGCCCCGGGAAACAGAAGAGTGTCACAGAGCAAATCAGAAAAAGCAGGCGAGGCGAGCGGGCGGAGTCCCGAGACACTAGAGGTAAAAAGAGGTGCAAACCTCTGTGCCGTGCGCAGGCAGCAGGTGTGCAGATCAGAGTTTAAGCAAGTGATGAGCTACAGCGGCAAAGAGAAAGCCTGTGAATGCAAGCCTGGGATAAGCAATGCTTGGTAAGGTTAAAATAGAACAAGGCGAGTTTAAAAGGCACAGCTATGGCTGCCTTGGTGCCCTGTCACCTCCCACCATGACGTCCCACCATCGCAGGGACTGTCGAGGGCCCAGGCTCTCCCCTAGGTAGCGGCCCTCTGCTGCAGGAGGCCACGGTGTATCGCCCAGGGGCTGCCTACCTGCATGGCTTTGCACACGCAGATGGGTCACAAGGCATGACAGAAGGACAGCTCTGGAAAGCCACCTCAGCTCAGGGTCCCAGCAAGGCTGGCCGCAACCAAGGCCAGGTCCTTTCCTCCTTTGCTGGCTTAGCTGTTGCTATGATTTAGACCTAGAATCCTCACTCCCCACAAGTCTCCATGTTCAGAGGCAGGGGGAGGAGGGTTGGAGGGTTGGAGGTGACCGAATCATGGGGTTGCTGTGCTCCTCACGGATTAGTTCACAGCTGAGTTTATGGCTGAATGAGTTGTTAGGAGGTGGGACTCAGTGGTGACTCCAGGATGTGACCTGCCTCCTCCCCTCTCCCTGTGCTTCCTAGCCCCCATGAGGTAAGCAGCTTTCCTCCATCATGATGTTTCTGCCTGGGAAGTGGCTGACCATAGACTGCATCACTATGAGCTAAGATAAGCCTCTGTTCTTGTAACTTTCAAATGTCAGGTGTTTTATTCCAATAACAGAAAAGCTGACACTGTAAAATATCACATGACCCTGGAAAACTTCTCACCCCTAACTGTTTCCAAGAGAACCTGTCTTAGTTAACTTTACTCATCACTGACTACAAAATATGCAACACCCAATGTTTAAAGGCTCACAGTTTGTAGAAGTTTCAGTCCAGAGCTGGTTGGCTCTAAGGTAGGGTAGCCTGGCAGAGGGGCATTGTAGAGAGAAAAACAGTCATAGAGAGCAGAAGGCAGCTAAGCAGCAAAGACAGAGCAGCAGCCTGCCTCTCCCTTTTATTCCTCCCACGATGCCTGCCCTGGGGGTGGTGCCACCCACAACCAGGAATGGCCATCTCATTATCCACATGGAGAGATCTGCCAAGCCAATCAATGTACTGACTTGGTAAGCTCACATCCTAAATCCCAGCATCCTACACTCCAAATCCAGCCATCTCTGGAAAGCCCCACCTATGTCCGAATGAGGTATTGGGAGGACACCTGGATTCAAGCCATAACAGAATCAGAGCAATCAGAAAAATGAACCTTAAAATGGAGTGGTAAGACTGGGTCATCCCATTTACCAGCTAGAAGTGAAGACCCATCCCAGGAGCCCAATAAATCAGCTATCTTCTATGCTGGAGAAGCACAGTTGTCAAAAAGTGTGCTGGTGATACACTCAGAGAAACTCTGCGTGGGAGAGAAAGCTTTGGTGGATGTAATATCCCAGGCTTTTCAGAGATTCAGGAAAGGAACCGATTATTAGAACAATGGAATTGATGGCTCTTGCTGAGTCACTGATGCATTAGAGAAAGACAATGTGAGACCCACAGCTATGAATCATCCATTGAAAGCAAAGTGTGAATGTTTGGAGGCCTTTTTGGAAGCATCTGAAGAGATTCTTACCTCCTATAACAGGAGGAAAGAAAGCTGAGGGTAAATAAGGCCCAGTGCTTAATTATAAGTGTGGCAGCTTTCCAAAGACATTGGAGCTCTTTGGAATTTTAGGGGCCTGGTCAGCAGGAGTGGGACCCTACAGTGTAGATGGGGGGGCAGAATTAATGCTTTCAAAAATTTTGAGACCCCTCTTGCAGCCTTCAGAGTCTCAGAATGGTCCTGACCTCCCAGTGGGAGGCTGTGCCCCTTTGTTGCTTGAACATGATGTTAACATCTCTGCATTAAAGACTATAGATACACATCAGAGACCTACATCGTAGACATTCCCACCAGACCAGTAGCTAGGGTCAAGTAGAACCACATGAGGCATGGAAGTGTTGGTTGTGTTGAGGGATGAACGAATTGATATTCCTACAGGGCTACAGGACCAGCCAACACGTGCCAGCCAAAGCCAAGATTGCTTATCAGCCATACCCTGAGGTAAGGGGGCAAAACATAGTCGAATAAAGGTGAACTTATTTATATGGAACAATCTTCTGTGATAGATGGTTTGCCACTCCAAAAATGACTCTAGGAGAGATTTTATCATGCTTCTAGGATAACTCTGGGGACTTTGGAGAAAATTATGGCCCACACTAAGTAAAGCTGACAGACCAAAACTATTTTAATAGGTGATAGAAAAAGAGACAAATTAACCTGATTGCTGGAGACAGCTTTCTGGCCCAGAACCTACTAATTAAAGGACAAGTCCTCAGTAACTGAACACAGTAATGATAGTCAGTCAATATAGTAATGATTCCAATGTGCCTTGCCAAATGGTCTCTGGTTGTGTATTTAGGCAACTATACAATGGAAAAGCAGACTATGTAAACACTGACAAATGCTGGACACAGGAGCTGAGCTGGCATTCATACCCAGAGTACTTGGGACTCCCTAGGATCTCCCTGCTGGAGTGCAGTGTATGTGATCAAGTAATAAGTAGAGCTCTGGCTCAGGTCTGGTTTACTGTGGTCACCTAGGTCCTCAGACCCAGCCAGTGATCATTTCCCTGTTTTGCAAGTATCTTACTTTTCTTATTGCTGAGACAAAATGCCAACTTATGTTGGCATAAGTTAAGGGAGGAAAGGTTTATTTGGTTCACAGGGGTTTCAGTTCATAGAGGTTTCATTCCACAGTCAGTTAACTCCAGGGCAGGATGACACGGCAGGCAGGCATCACGGAGGAGAAACAGTCCATGGTGGGCAGAAGTTAACAAAGCAAGCAAGGGGTTACCACAGCTCTTTCTATCCCTTATAGCTTATCCAGGCTGCTTGGATCAGGTAGTACTCACACCCTTAATCCTAGTGCTCTTGAACCTAGCACTGCACCATAAATTAATCCCAGCATCGCACACTCTGACCCAGCCACCTCTGAAAAAGTCCCACCTATGACTTCATGAGGCTTTGAGGGGCCATGAAGACACAAGCCACAACATTCTACCTCTGGACCTCCAAAGACTCACACACATCCCTTTATGCTGAAGACATTCAGTCCATCTCCAAGAGTTGCCACAGTCCTAACAGTTTCAGCATTGCTAAAAAGTCCAAGTCCAAATTCAGCTCTGAGATTTAAGGCAAACCTTTAGCTGTAACCCCTGTACAAATGAAATGAAAATTAAACACTTCCCAGATTCAGTGCCACAAAATAGATATTTCCATCCCAAAAGATACAAAGAGGGCGATAGAAAGGAATATGAACCAAGCTAGTCCAAAATCCAGCAAGCCAAACAGTAAGCCCTATATTTCCA